CCATAGATTAAATATATGCATAAAGTGAGTGGGATTTATTACAATGAGAAAATGGGACGCACGTCTGTCTCACGCACGAACCATGCAATATATATATTTTGTCTGCTCCATTACATTTAAGTTATCATGTGCTAGATTATAAGTATATGATTCAAATTGAAATTATAGTATACATTTTATTTCTCAACAAATCTATTATGAGTTGCAGTTAATCGTGTAGGCTACATGGGGATTAAGCTAAACTCCAGCCATGTGATAATTGGTAAAATTTAATAAACAGTTGACACATATAAAGATAAAATAAAAATTCCAATGGAGGTGCTAGACCGACCAAAGATTAATTCTTAAAAAATAATTATAAAGGTCAAGAGAAGGAATACGTTGAACATTCACTAGCATCTCATTTTTAATCAAAGATATTTCATACAATTAAATATTAAAGAGTTTTAATTCTTAAATAATGCCGGATTTAATTAGTTTCAACATGCAAAATGCTGAGATGTCTAAAACTGTAAAGCAAAAAAAGCGATATAGAAGTATCTTCTTTGGTTGTATATTAGTTTGAAAAAAACCATTGGTATATGTTCAATCATTGTCAATTTGATAATTTCCAATGGGGGTTAATAACATTAATTGTTTTGCCAATTAAAATCAATTATTTATCATACTTTTCTGGAACGACAAATAATCAAGATCTTTTTTCTGATTGAAAAATATGCTCCATATTTTAGCCAACAAGAAAAAAACCATTTAGTATAGTAGCAAAAAGCCAAATAGTTCAACATTTCTTTAAGAGGTATTCTCATAGAACCACAACACTTGTTGAAGCCAAGGAAAAGCCACTTTCATCGTTTGGATCTTAAGATCACTCCATTTTTTTCATCGGACGGTCCACATTACTCCATTTTTTCCGGTCATCGTCTTTTTCACCTGAAAACTTCCAAGGGAAAGAGAGGATTTTGGATTCAACAGGAGGGAAATTTGGGTTTTTTTAACGTTCAAAATTAGCTTTGAACGGTTTCAATTCCAAAGCAGAAGCTTTAAAGGTAATATCAAATAAAGACCGTTGCTTTGATTTTTGTTACTTTAACGTTCTTATTAAATTTAAAGTTTCAGACTTTCTCAAGATCTTTTTATCTGTTTTTGAATTACATATTTGCTTCTTTTGTTCTGACTTTATTGTTCTTTGGTCCTAG